TAAGAATTCTATCGTCCCGATAACGATATAAATCACAAAAATGTAACATTTTCTGTAAATTCTGTGAATCTCGGGCAGCTCGACTTGCGGGAAGTGTTTCCAGCTGCGCGTTATGTAACTGGAGTCGAGTGTTTTAACCAATGCATGAAACGATACATTTTTAGACATAAGTTGTAATGGCCGCCGTTTTCTTTGTGAGTATTTATTACACGGCGTGCTGCGGGGAAAAGCCTGTTCTAACGTTTGAGTCTAAGGTTTATTTTTTAGCACCTGGCGGCTCTTTTTTACTTCTCATCCGTAAATTATCTGCATCTTTCACGTGATTCTGTTTATTTTGAAAAGTCTCAACAGGATCTTGAGCTTTATTGTGAAAGGTTTATGTGGAACATAAACAAGCAGACACGCGATGGTGTTACCATCATTGTTGCTAACGACAACGCATAAAAACAGGCGCTTGTCCGTCTGTAGTGTGGTTATATTAAATAAAAGAGAAAGAGAGAACTTTAAGAAATTAATATAGCCACTACAGTGACCATCAAAACCATGAAAAAAAAAAATTCCCATAAACATTTTATTTTGCGACACCATGAAACAAACGATAGCGTAAAATGAAACGATAGATGTTTTTATATTGTTATATCGAACAGCCCTACCTCTGTATACCACTATAGCTCAGCTGCTTGAGCAGTGACCCATGACCCAAACTCTAGAGTCCTTACTTCAGTGTCCCGGGTTCAAGTCCACCCAAGTCATATTAGTTAGGAACTGTTGCCAAACCAACACAGTGTAGTGTTATGCTTTAGGGCTGTAACTGATCATATTCAACATTAAGTGCTGGCTCATTTTTCCCCAATTAACTAATTAATTGTTTGATCCAAATAAGTAGAAAATGGTGTCAAATACCAACCAGTGTCCTCCGGTGGCTGCTTTAATTTGACAAAACACAGTAAATAGAACAGAGAAGAGCAGCAAATCCTCATATTATCCCATTACCAAAATAGCGTGCAATTAATTTTCAATCCATCAAGAGCCTCCATTGTGTTTGGAGTAAAGTGGCCCTTTAAATAAGTGAATGCTAAAAACAGTTTTCCCATCTCTCTGCTGGCGGGTACCCCCAAGTGTGAAACAAGAATTGTGCTTGTGGTTACAGCGAAACGTGAGCTTAAAGCTGTACAGAATGAGACTTTTTTTTAAACTTTGGACACTAATGGGGGGTCAGCTGAAGCCGGGTTTCTGTCAAAATGGAAACAATTGGTGCTTGTCAAAGGGAAAGCGGGGCAAATTATTTCACTTGTTGAAAATGTTTTTTGGATCAGTCAAAAATCTGAAATTCAAGACGAGCTAACACCAGACTGGGGGTTTGGGGGTGGAAACCACTTCATTGCACCCAACTTAGTCATTTTCCCAGCATTTTTGTGGCGCAGCGCTAACTCTGGAAAATGCTTCCATGCATCCGGGGAAAAAGCCCAAAAGTTCTCTCCTGTAACAGCAAGACATGAAGCAGCACAACGAAGCATGTGAAGGTTAACCATATCAGGCAAGTTTTATGAAGCTGTGCACCAATTTTAAGGTTCTGGGCCAATATTATTGTTTAAATATCCATGTGGTTCACAGCTGATGCCTATGTATATATTTATGTATTGCTGGTGCTGCGCAGTGACAATGATACAAATGTCATTTTATTTGCTAATTTGTTATCAGTAAGATATCAGCTGATAGCGACACATTAGGGCATCTTTAATAATAACATGCAGTGCCCGACGTTAGGAGTATATTGGACCATGCAAAAGAGTTGCTTGACGCTAACATCAGCCAAATCTGTTAAAGGTCAGTGTGAGATTTTGGAGGGAAATCACTGCAACGAGGGGCACAAGTGTAAAAACGTAGCTCTGCAACTGTGTTGCTGTTCACCAGTCGCTTTTTTTCACACGTCCTCGCCGTGACACTGCACGACGACATTGAGAACTCTGGTTCACCCCGCTCCAGCTGTTGAGTGGAGGGCAAATGCAGGGCAAGAAGATTGCTCTTTCCTATTATAACTGGAAGAACATCACACACTGACACACACAAGTATACCCACACAGATATATATATATACACACACACACACGCACACAAAGGCCCAGCATCAAGCCCATCCCACCTAATGGCCATAGCCTCATACTGCTAACGGGTGCTCAGGGAGGCAATGAGGTTTGCCATCTATATATCCATGACCCCTGGTTGACTTTTCTCCCCCATTTACCTCCCCCTGCATGACCTGGCAATGGCACCCTATTAGGGTGAGAGAGGGGGGAGACAGAGAGACAGAAATAGGGTCTGGGATCCCGTTTGAATGGAGCACCCTGATGCAAACATCAGCGAGTTAAGTACACAAATCTCCCTGCAAATGGGGTCAATGCTAGTGCTTAGCCATTTGTTTTGATTTTCCTCCCCCCACCGCTGCCTTTACTCACACTCTCCCTCCTCCTTTCCTTGGGAAATCATAACTGTTAGCAATGATGCGGGGCAATATGGCAATGATGCGCGGGTAGAAAAGTAGCGAGTGGAGCAGAGCGATCGTGCACCATCGCCGTCTCTCGGTCTTCCGTGCGCACAGTTTTATCTCTTTGACGCATGTGCCACTCGCACAGACACAAACTAACAAATACATCAAGAACACTGCAACGTGGGGCGCACAAAACACACATGATTGAGCGGCAGAGTGGTTCCTTCTCCTGGAGAGATTCATCAAGGCACAGCACAAGAAGAAGCGCTGAGAAGAGGGAGGGAGAAAAAAAAAACAGGCAAAAAAGGAAAAACAGAATATTGTGTGACTACCAGACACAAATGTCAATTTCCTCACTGCTGCCGCAGCTTCTCCATGCACCATTTAGCCCAAAGCTTCAAAAAGAAACTGCAGCAATCTCCCTATCCATGCCCCCAAACTGAATTCATATTCTTAGGCTGATTATGAAATTTCACTGATGCAACAGGGTGGCATTTTCAGTGAAATCATTTGTGTTACAATTGACTCTTCTGCCAATATTTACTGTGAACTAACAAATCTAATAAAAGAACCATGGCAGATCATACGGTAAGAAAACAAAAACCAATGCATTCATCTATGTAGAACCAATGCATTCAAACTGAGGCATGATTTATTCATTTTGTATTTTGCCTCTGAGGCAGCAAAGCTGGCTGATCACTCGCTGAGTCAGAGAGGAGGTGGTTGATTTCTGTTTGTCTTAAGAGGTGGATCATTTGCAGCCAAGCAGGTCACTGTGTTAGGCAGAGCCCATGTGATTGCAGTCAGCTCTCTAGGCTAATCCTATTCTGTGTGTGTGCACATGCACGACTATGGGCATCCTTAAGCAGGAGCCCCTGTGGCTGCAGACATGTACACACAGAGGCCAGACAAAGCCAGAAGACAGCCAAAACAGTGCTTATGATCAGTCTAGTCTTCTCCAAATCTGATGGCTGTCGAGTTAAAAGAAAAACCTGAATGCCTGACCCCTACAGTGAGTCCCGTTATGCTGTGGAGGGTGACTTTCGGATATTGTTTTGGTTTATTTGGAAGGACGTGTCACTGCAATTCAAACCAAAGTTGATCTGAGTGATCGCCTCCATCCTGTGATGAAACCTTTCCATCCTGCTGGGAGTGGTTTCTTTTCCAGGATGGCATCACTCTCAGTCTGCTTGCTTTTTTTTTTTTTTGTCTTAACATGCAATAGAATGGGTTCAAGTCTGTGTGTATGTGTACAAATCTCTGGCCCTTAGAACTAGAGGTTAGCAGCCGGCTGCTCTCCCTGATCAGGTTACAAAAGTGGGTGTGTTCCCTCTCTCCTCTGTCGCCTGCATGTCTGCCTCTCCCTCGCCCTCTCTCCAACTCATTCTGTCTCCCTTGGTTTCTCCTCCCGCTACGTCTCTCCCTTTCTGGTTACAGGAGCCTGAAAGTTTGCGTCATCCAAGCCTCTCCCTCTGGCAACGCTACAGACCACCTCTCTCCTGCTCTCTTATTCTCTCACTTGTCTACATTCCTTTCCTTGCCTTGCTTCCTTTCTTTCTTTGTCCCATCTCCCTACAGCACCTGACAGGCAACAGCCCCACAGCTGGTCCACAGTCCCTGCAGGAGGCTGGATGCAATGTGACTCCCCCTTAACTTCTCATCCTGTGTTGCTAGCCCACCAGCCACTCACCTAGCATCACTCTGGTATTGCCCGCCTGGCCCACATCACACGCACGCCCACCAAGTAAAAGCAAAGGCAGACTAGCTGACTTGCTCCAGCTTTCTAAGATGCATCTATTCTTTTTCTCCTGTGATGATAACACAAAGTCATACTTCAGTCTGAGGCAGAACGTTGGATCGTGCTTGCTCTCAAACCTGTTGCACTGCCACTCTGATACTTTTCAAATAACTCTGATACTATAACATTAAGCCACTCCTTTAGATGCCATTTGAAAACTTAAAAAGAGACACAAAGTGAAAGCTTACGACACTGTAGCAAAGTACAGGGTTGCAGGGGATGACAAATTTGGAGCAGCAGGGAAAATGCAGCACCAGAGTCTTAGGTAAAAGATCAGCAACAAGAATGTGTTGCTTCTACTTTCACAAATCATGCTCACTTGCCCTCTGTTGGTCCAAAAAGTTCACTGATAAACACATCAGACTTTTAGATTTCTTCCCACAACAATCTCAAATACGGTCGTAAGCATATCTGCGATTTTAATCAGGACCTTCAGATGCCAACAGGCAACAGCGCTTCACACTCATTTTTTCACTAGAGATCAGTTCTATCTTGATCTCAAACACGTCTGTAATCATTGACACTCATTTACAGGCCATATAACAAAAAAATCGAAATCATCCAAACACTCCACAACAAATCCATGTGACAAACCAACGCAGACATACAAAGCATAATAAACGTGGCTGTGTGTTTACTTTAAGTGTATTTTATTTTGTATGTCCATGTCTGAGTATGCATGCATGCGGTTTTACATGTGTGCAGAGACGTTACCTTGTCTTTCTCGTGTGGCAGCAACCGGACCGGGGGCAGCGATTCCAGAGACACCGTGCCGGTCCCATCATCCTGGTTGCTGCTACGGCTGAGGAGCTGGAACAGTGGACCCTGTTTGGCCACGCGCCCGTGGGCCACGGCTCTCTTGAGGGCTACCCTCAGCTGCTGGTGGAAGAGGCCCGGCCCCATGGAGCCGCTACCCGACAGGTACGCTGCCACATCAGCCTGACACTTGAGGAAGCGTTCGATGTTCTTTAAGCTGGAGCCACCCGGCTCGTGGAGCCCCTCTAGTGCCCGCTTAATTAATTTGTTCCAGTCGAGACCCGGTTTCTTCCCCGAATGCGAGTGAGAGCTGCTCCCTCCACTGCTGCTGCCACCACCTGCTCCTCCACCTCCTCCTCCACCGGAGCTGCCGCCTCCGCTGCCACTGGAGCTGCCAACACCTTTGGGCTTGGGCAGGGCCAAGCGCCCAGGGTTATCTGGGTCCTTGTAGGAGTTGAGACCTTTGTTGGTAACCTTGAGTATGGTACCATCCTTGACACTAAGCTCTAACTGCTCCAGAACTGTTTTGCGGTCCAGGCCATGGGACATAGAGACCGCATTGCAAATGCGCTCCTCTGATGGTCGCTGCTTCTGCTTCTTTACCTTCTTGATGGCCTCTAGAATCCATTGGGTGTACAATGGGTTTGCCAGTTTCACCATGGCTGCTGTCTGGGTGGGTGCAGCAGCACTGGGGCCTTACCGCGAGGACCACACACACAAAAAAGTAGAGACTGTAAGCCAAGTAAACACTTGGCTTGCGCCGTAGCGCCGCCGCCTCCTCCTCCCTTTTGCCCTCTACCAGCTTACTATCCCTTGTCCTGGGGTCGCACAGAGAGTCCCTCAGAAGCTGAGTATAAGCAGCACGAAAAGGAGCAGCTGATCATAGCACAACCCCCCTGAGCCAACCCTCCACCTGGTGAAAATCTGGTCCACCCACCACCCACTTCCAGCCAGGTGAAGATCCCTGGCAAGAGGCAGGGGGAGCAGAAGAAGCTTCAGATCTATTACCAACTTATACTCCCACAGTACCCAAGGTTGGGCAGGGCAGATTTTGATTTGGCTTTTCACAAAATGTAGGCGTTTCCTGTTTAGACGCCCCCCGGGAAAAAAAAAGAAAAAACAAAAACAAGGACTGCCAATAACAGCAGTCTCCTCTGCTCAGACTCTCCGGGACATGAAAATTGTGTTTCAGTGATAAACGCGAGGACAATTGCACAAAGGTTTCTGATAATTATATCACTCCAGAAGATTGTGAGTTTTCCTCTCAATCCACATCTCCTTATTTTCGCTTGTTCACGTTTGCTCCCTTTCGCTCTTCCAGCAGTCTGAGCTTCTCAGCTCTGGGACGGAACAGATATCTCACCACAGGGAGCAGCCAGGACCGATCACCTTCATGCCTATTGCACTTCAGTAGCTGATGAAAACTGTAGGAGGGGGAAAAATAAAAAACACAGACACAAAGAAAGAGATTATAGCACATCGCTGCAAAGATGGGGCACCTAATTTTACAATTTTAGAGAACAACAAATCAGGGTGAGATACAGATGACACAAGAAGGTTCATCTTTTCAAAACAACCCAGGCACATCATCCAGTGGCATTCACATAAACAAAGCCATACCTTCCTTCTGAATCACTATATTACTCCGTATACTAGACACGAAACTGTAAAGTAATAATATTTATTATCTCTAGCCAACTTCCCAGATTTCTGTTTTTAAATAAACTACCATGGGATTGTACCACTAAACAACTATCACTAAGAAACGCACAGCCAGTGACAAGACCAGAACTTCTAAAAATGAAAAAACATTAAGAACCGTACTCATACCTCACGCAACTGTTTAAAAACTGTGTGTTACAAACATTGTAAACAACCCCATCCTCAAAAGTGCACTACAGAGTTGACAGCTTGGCTAGCTGGGTTGCTAACGTAAACATGTTACAGTGAAAGCACAGAGCTGTTAGCAAACATTAGCCGCGAGGCTAGCTAATAATCAAAGCCAGATTAACAGTCGCATGGCCAAACCATTTCCTGTCGTTCTGTTTACTCACATATTATGTCAGGCTGCCAAGTATCTGACAACAAGCCTTCCCGCTTACTGCTGTTGTGTAGCAAGCTAACGTGAGAAGCTAGCCAACAAGCTAGCGTTACGATCTCTGTTACTAACGTTACTTGCCAACCTGAAACGTAAACAGCGTGAAACGGGGGGGTAGCCAGCGCTCCAGCACAGAAGAGCGAGAGAAAAACCAAACATTTCCGCATGGACCTGGGATTTCTGACAATACAAAGCATCACACCACAGCAAACACTGCGAATATTCTCCCCATGAATGTCACTCAGATACTAACGTGAGATCGCGGCCTTGTATGAGGCACAATGCAACTTGCAGACGGCCATCTCGGCTAGCGGGCAAGTGCAATATTTAAGATGGTCTTAGCGGGTGGTTCTGCAGCAGTGCTGGTTCCGCGGCCTAGCTCTCAATCTTCGGCATGGGCGAGCAGGCTCTGCCCGCGTAGACGCATCCCTACCAGTGGTCCGCACCTCGCTGACTTCCTCCCTCCGCTAACCGCCCTCCCACGTAACGCTACAGCCTGCGGTGCCGTGAAGACAAGGCCGCTAAAACGGAGTAAAGCTAGGCCTCTGTTCGCCCCCCTCCCTCCCCTCCATACCCCCCACCCACATCCGCGATCACCATCCCCTCCGTACCCCTCTCCCCTTCTACCTCTCGCGGTTCCCCAGAAAGCCAGAGATGGTCCGGTTCTGGTTTCGGAGGGAAGCTCGGGCAAAGCGGACCGCGGAGAAAATCTCGTATCCTCCCATCCGGCTTCCCCTGCTACTCACCGGAATTTGGTATCGAGCCGCCGAGGAGAAGGTGCCAAAACCGTGCGAAACGAAGACAACAACAAGCCCAAAAAATGCAGCCAGAGACCAGGGGCTCTAGAGCCGACGCCATCTTTGAGTGAAACAGGAGCACGGCTGGTGGGGGAGGGGGGAAGACTGAACAGTCAGGCAGGGCCCAGGGACCGTCTGCATGGTGCGAGGCGAAGATCCAGGGGACGGAGCAAAAAGAAAAAAAGAAAAATTCACTGCAAGGCGCGGGGGCGGCGGCGGCGTGCTGTTGCTATGAGAGGGGTGTGGATATTGCTTGAGCACATGAAATGGAAGAAAGGGACAGATGGTGGTGGTTGTGTTGGAGGAGGGAAAAAAATAAAAAGAGAGGATAGGTGTTCACGCATTCTCTGCTGTACTACAGCTACACAGGAGGAGATTCAAGGGAGCGTCTGTATTTTGCCTGGCAGTTGTAAAAAAAAAAAAAATCAAAGCCAATGAGCGTGTCTTAACGTTAGAGGGTATTTAAAGATCAAAGTGAGACACTCCTCCACATTGCAGTCTATTGTGGAAGCTGTGTGTGTTTTAAACTGAAGATGGAAATTGAGCCAGATTTTTTTTCTCCCCCCAGAGGTGATCAGATGTTGCCATGTGGAGCTATCTGGAGTATTACAGTACATGATAAAGCATGTTATTATCTGCCTGTGCAGTGTAGTCTGTAGTGATGCATCGCTCATCAGACTGTGAAACACAGAATTATCTCTCCAGCAAAGGAAGCGGTTAATGTAAAGTCTCTGCGGCCATCCCACTTTGTTACGTTTGATTAAATGACACACCGAGTCTAACACCTTTATTTTATATCCACGTTTGGCCAAAGCAGGGCTTGTGCAGCTCTCAGAGTCACATCAATTATGGCATCTGGTGACAGGTGGAAGCAACTTTGTCTAAAGGTATTGCTCTTGGTGCGCTCGAATCCACACTGTGCTTGATTTTAAACTGAAATTGCAATGAATGTGTGCGAGTCATGGGTGTTTAAACTTATAGTATGTTGCAGAAAATGACAGGAGAGAGAGACTACTAATCATGTAATAATTTCTAAATGCGCCACGGGGAAGTTTGAACAATCTAAGCAGAACCCTTTCCTTATTCATAAGAAAATCAGTCAGTTGATGAAATTGGATTTTTGCTGCTTCAATTTCACGACCATCATGACACGGGAGGGTACTTGTGTTTGAAATCTGGCAGCAGTCTAATGCCGACAGCTCCCTGGGTGGAAATTAAATTATCTGCAGCTTTGTGTAAAATGATGTGTACAGCATTCCTCGGAGACAGTGTCTTATAGGGGAGCAATTAGACCTGATGTTTTCCCATGTTAGAGGTGTCCTGCGAGAGAGCGAACCCCCAGCAGTGCAGCGGTGATCAAATAAAACCCAGTAAGGTCACATTTTACTGGCTGTTTTCCCCGCACTCCTTCAGGGACAAATAAATCACCAACTAATTGTAATTAACAGTAGCGTTATTGCAAAGATAAATAGTGTGATGCGTTAACACATGAGCTGCTATTAGCACGTGCCTCCTGAGGACTCACATTATATTACTGTGTACAGTAGGCCAGCTAACAGATGGACAATACTCAGGAGGAGCCTGCACTGCATCTATCGTTCCCGGCCATGAATAAATAATGTTGTGTACCATGATCCACAGCAGAGGCCATGTTCACCAACACACAGCAACAGGAGAAAACTAATCAGGGTGGGGCACGGAGTGGAGGAGTAGGGAGCCACCCTATTGTAATTTTGGTAAGATCATAATTGATTCAGTTACATAAACTGAGCTGAAGTTTTACCTATTTTATAACTGTCATCTGGGGGAAGTGGAGGAGTGCGGGCCTGGATATTTAACGGATCTAAAACTGTATTTACACACATTTTTGTTGGCGTATACTCATCTTTATTAGATTAGTAGTGGATTGACCAGCTAACAGACAAGAAGTAGGGCAGAAAATTATTGCAAATTGACTTAAGTGTTTAAAGTGGACCTATTATGCCTACAGTGTATTATTGTAAGGTCTTTACCTGACAATATAAAGCGCCTTGAGGCAACTGTTGTTGTGATTCGGTGCTATATAAACAAAACTGAACTGAGTTGATGGTGGCCCCGAGAGCTCAAATGCACGGCAACTTCAGAAAACTCCAGCAAAAACTGAAAAATGCTGCAAAAGCACACAAAACAGTACGGAAGCTGAATAAAAAAAGAAAAAAAAAGAAATAGAAACAATAAAACACAACTTAAGTAGGAGAAAAAAACTCAAGAGACATACAGACAGAGCGGAAATGTTTTTGGGGAGACATTAAGGTGACGGAACAGCTGATGAAGTGACCTAAAACCAAAACGTGTAAAAAATTGCACCAAGACGAGCTTAAAATCAGCTGAGGATTCTTCAGTGTTGTGAGGGAGAAAAAGATGCAAGTAAATAGTCTTTTTAAAATACACATTTCACGTAATACTGCAGACACTTTATTAACGTGTTGCTAACTGCTATTAGCTGTTCACTGTTAGCTCGTCACTTCTGCTCTCGTGCTTGCTGATGTTTTTTCCTCCTCTTTCTGTTTTGTTTTATTCAACATCTGTTGTGTTTTGTGTGCTTTTTATCTAGCATTTAGCATAGCATTTATTTTTTTGCTGGTGTTTTTTTTTTTAATTGGAGTACGTTTGACCTCTCACGGCCACCGTACTGTGTGCCAAAAGCTCAGAGTTCAGACAGTTTTTTCTACTCTTAAATCTTTGTGACGTTGATAAGCGTGGATGTCCTTATATGGTCACGTTCTCCGTGATCACAGAAGCCTCTACATCCTATCGCTTGTTCACAAAGAGTAGCCATTCAGAAGAAAGCTGGAATGAGGAATATTTTAAAATGCAGATCATGCAAAGGTACTTTGATAAAGTACGAGATAAAAATATAGAACGTAACATCTCCCATTTAATCTAGGAGCCAACAACTTCCACAAGTGAGCATCTGGGATTGTCTGCTTCCCATCTAGAAAGGGTTTTTCCACACAAGCCCCATAAAAGCAGCATTTCAGGATCGTGGTTATCTATTGATGTATTGTGGAGTTTTATCTGGTGTTTGTGGATGCAGCAACCGTCATCTCTATAGTGGACATTTGGCACTGTGTAGCAGCTTTTGCTCCGACCAGCAAATGGATGTTGTAGTATGACACCCTTGGCTCGTTTTCCATCTTTGGTGCAGAAAAGGAGGCCAGTAATCCTTAGCTTCCTTTCATCCCCCTAATCCCTCCCTTAAAAAAAAATTCTATTCTCCGAGCATCCACCTGCTAGCGAGGCCTGAGCCCCCAGCAAGCCGAACCAGTGTCCACCTGCCCCCTGCAACCCTCCCCTTCCCTGTCCTCTCTCTCTCACACACACATACACAAACAGAGAAACGTGCACATCTCCTCCACCTGATGCACAGCAGCACCTTCTGCTCTGAATGCCTGCTGTCGGGCCTGCTGGCTCTTTGCTCTGCTTCACTTCTTCCTGCCTCTGGTTTAAAAGCTGGACATTTGCCAAGCCAAATAAACCGACGGCATCCCCGCGGTTATAAAAAAAAAGAAACCCGTGGTACAGCTACAGCGCTTGTTTTATTGCTGCTGCCGCTGTTTTTGTTATCAGATTTTGAACTGTCCACGCAGCCCGTCAGTATTTTTCTTTCTTTATTTGAAATACTCTTGCAGTTACTTGTCAGAACCATTATGGAGAAATCCAATTAAAATAGTTTCTCTGATTAAAAGCCTGTTTAGTTTGGGTAAATAAGGATGTTTACATATCGAGTCCAGCTTGAATTACATTTTTTCCAACTAATCAAGGCCTCTTGATGTGTAAGTATTAAAAAGTCATGGAAAAGTCAGGTGTGTTTAAGGCAAATGAATGAAACCAACAAACCTGGACATTATCGAACGATGGCTTGAGTTAGTTGCTCACTCTTCTCTCGTCCCTGTGCTCGTGCCTTTTACTGTATATAATAAAAAATTTGAATGTGGATTGTGGCGTTAAGCAGCAGTCAGTCTGTGCCACCATCCCAGCAGGCTGCATTTATGAGTTCCTGTTTTTCGGGTGATGACTGGAGCGCTGTGCTCAGATAGCCGGCCAGTGTCCAGGACCACTTTTTTTTTTTTTTTTGTCTGTGTGAAACTAGCAAAAGCTTCCTGCTGTGGCTGGCTGGTTGCCAAGTCCCCA